TATCACACAAACAAAAAAATATGGGTATAAAATGTTTTGACGTCCATATTTCCAATACTCATCTCTTATCCCGCTCCCCCTCCCTCCCCATCTTATCTCTGGTCAACAACTAGCCCTCGAAGATCAATCTCAATGATTGGTTTCTTTGTTTGGCATTCGTACTTGCTAAAAAAGATAATTCATAATTTCTTGAGGTCGTAGTACAATAATGAAACTTACAGTGTGGCAACCTTTCCCCAGTAGAAGACCTCCCTAGGCTCTTGCTCCATTGGGTTTTCCTCGCCACCATGGACTACAGTCTTGATTCCAGACTGTATAATCTTTGTGGCACATCTTGAACAAGGAACTCCAGTGGTGTATAGAGTGGCAGAGGTGAGGTCTGCGTGGTATCTGTAGGCACTCACAATTGCATTGAACTCTGCACAGCACACTGGAAGAAGAGATTCAACATGTCCTACTTTCAATGTGCCTAGTTAACGCACCATATTCTGTCTTCTTTCCATCTGACAGGCCGTCAATGTATCCATTGTAACCAACACTTATGGCACGACGTGGCTCTTTATAGACAAGACAAGCACCAACTCTCTAGTGTATGTAGATTGGGTGACAATTTAAAAAAATAGGCTGGTAATAAGAACCCTCACTTTAGAAATAACACTTCGACATGTAGCCAACACTGCTAGAGACATGAAGTAGTCATCCAGTGGAAAATCTACATCTCGTCGGCCCTTGGTATTTTGTTCTGTGATATACACCTAATAATTTGTACATACACAATGAGGCACAATCATTTACCGGGAATTTCAGGGACACTTTTGTTACATAGGGGACACACGTCTTTGTCAGGTTTTTGGTAACCTCCGGACAAACACATGGGACATCGATTACCGTCTTCTTCTGGTTTCCACTTGGTCTGAGGTATCGTACTGAAAGGTGATATACCACACTAAAAACCAGTCATGCTAAAATTGTGTGTACCTTGACTCGTCTAATTTTATTGACAGATCTTTCAGATCTATTGTCATTTTTGCAATGTTGCCGTACCCACTCTCCATATACTCATACCGCCTAAGTTAATAGTTGTAATAAAATATCTCCATTGGTTATGTATCAGTTTATCTCACGTGATATTCATATCTGGTAGTCGTCCAAGAGTTTCAAACATATCCCTGCCATTATGGAAATATTGTGCAAACACCACATTCTTGATCCCAGATTGAGCCACCAGCTTAGAGCAGTCATGACAAGGAGAGAGAGTCACATAGAGAGTACAGGCTGACAAGTCTGCCTCTCTTCTGTATCCCGCAATCATGGTGTTCACCTCTGCATGACAATCTGAAACAGAACGTATAAGCAATAATAGCTTATGAAAAAACGGTATTACTATATTCAGATTGGACAGAGCCCCAGTCCATCTTGTCATCCTTGAAACCACGACCATCCGGCATTCCATTGTAGCCTAGGGCAACCAGACGATGTGGAGCTGGTGTTACTAGACAGACTCCAATCTGAGATTTTTGCATGGAGATTTTAGCATAGAATAGTTTTTAGAACAGTTAAAAACCTGATATTTGATGTCTTTGGACCTTGTGCTTGATAAAAATGCCATTGCCATAAAGAAATCCCGGTAGGAAGGCCCTACAAAAAGGATGCACAAAAACTTAACTGGTTAGTATCAGCAAATCCTCACACTTACGTTGTGCCCGGTTCTTCTTCACATGCAGGTTCATCTTGTTTATCTTTTTTCTTATTTTGTTCAGCTTTTCCCTTATATTCCAATTCTTTAAAAATGACTTCATTTCCAGGAATATCTATCAGAAACTTCATTTCTGTCTTCACGAATCCGAATATAGCACTTGTATTTCCTTCAGGGAGGTAAGTAATTAATACAAAGATTACATGTGACAATAATAATACTTGAAACATGCTTTGGCTTTATAGACGAGGTCTTCAACATCCTCTTCTCTTTAAGCCTTCTTTTTCCCAACATTTCCATATACCACAACTCTGATGCCAGCATTAAGAATGGCCTGGGTGCAATCAAAACATGGAGGTTTGGTAGTGTAGAGAGAGCACTTTGTCAGGTCCACTCGCGAATCTTTGGCATTCAGTAGAGCTTTTAACTCTGCATGAGATTTTGCCCCTGTAAAATTTAATATTGATTTTCGTAACATTATTTGTATAATTACATACCTTCTTTGCAGTATCCAAGGCTTATTACATGAAGCGAATCATTGGATACAATACAAGCTCCAGTGAAATCACCCTAAGGTGGAAGAGTGGGGAAATTGACTCATGATCGTTAGCAACAGTAATGCAAGGCACTAGCTAAATGCACGTGAAGCTTCAACCTAAGGTGTAGCTATTATTATGAACAATAAAAGCATACTTCACAAGAATGACTTTTAGACAGTATTGCTACTGTCATAAAGTAGTCATCCACTGCCAGTGGAAAAAATGACTGATGTGATTCTTCCGATCCGGAGAGAAGTTCAACTGGTCCTGCTTCCTTAAATTTTCTCTTTTTCTCCTCGTCAATATCACGCACTTCAAGTTCGTTTAAATCAACCCTCAAAATATCAGACCTACACAGGAGACGATAAAATTATGTGACTGGCAGTTTGGCGTAGGATCGCCTAATTAGGAATTGGCATTGCCAATTTTGCCCAACACTGCATTACAGTGGAACCTCTCACCACGGCCCTCCGAGACGCTCCTAGACAGTATATAGAAGTGGACAAAACGCTAAGAACGGATTGAAACTACCGTAGAGCTAATACCTCCGAGAAGCGGACGCATTTTGCCTCCGAGATCCGGACAACGGACACCAACCGCATCCCGGACTGACTCAGCCCAATTTTGTTGCCTCCGAGAACGGACAGAGAAGCCACTCTCGCACTCCAGTTGAAGAGCGAGCCATACGCTATACGTTGCAAAGAACATTGGCAGCGTGGGTTTACACACTAGTCTTTCCCCAGCGAGCACAGCGAAAGGTCCTAACGCAAGCGCGAAGACAACCACACACATCGCCGCACTCTGCGCTTGCTCGCCTTGCGCAGTGTAGCTATAGGCCTACATCGGTCTTGATCGTGCATAATCAATAAAATAATTGTGTTAAATCACCCCAAGAGGGGTTTATAAGCTTAAGCTGAAATAACACAAACCTCCGAGATGGGGACGACCTGACCTCTCTACAAGGGACAAAAGCCGTTTACCCTAAGACAAGTGTTCCTATCTCGGTATACATTTTTTAAAAGTGAACAGCCCAATCACCAATATTCCCCCACGTACATGTTGGGGTCGCAACGAGTTTCATTATTTTCTGTCAATTTCATCTTCTTCGAGGAAGTGGTACAGACAACCTCAACACCTTTTGTTTTCTTGCCTATGAAAGAAGTGTGATTAGATTATTCGAGAAAGATGTGTATTTTTACCACGTGTCCAATCAGAAAGCACATGATATGTTCACCATTGTAACTGCGGGGTGGTGCGCGCGATATAATAATTGGCCAGACGCGGACGACATTATTACATACTGCTCGCTTCGTCATGATTCACGTCCTCTACCTATATTACAGCTACGTAGCTACCTTTAGGATGAGACTGCTCCCTCGACTCAGAGAGGCAAAGCACTTCAATCGCATCGTATTCCTGCGACTGTCCATCTGACTGTCCATCTGATTGTTCAGAGCGTTTTCCCGGCTGATAGTCGCGCTCTGCCACACATAATCCCTGTAGAGAGGTTCTTGCTGTAAGTAGTTAACAGTAATAGCTAGCCTACCGCAAAATCACTGGGCTGGCTTTGGCACCTGGCAATGATACTCAACGCGCAGCGAATCCTTTCCGTCATCTTGACTCCTCCGCGCGGAGCTCTCGCGCTGTAATAAACCCTCGGTAGCGCATGCGTGCCTCGCAACAAAGAACTGATCACCACACTAAATAAAAAATGTGGGAGAAGAGTACAAACACCATTTGACGATCTAGAAGCACCTTTCCACCATTGGAAAGTAAGACAACCTTTATCTCCTGTGGTGTGCAGAGATGAGGTAAAGGCATTCACCCACTATTGAACTGAGCACAGTAGCTATATTATACTCAATACTCAAGCCAACACTAATGGAATTTGGAAGACTAAACTCTGCACATGTAGAGCCAGAAGATAATTATTAGGTCTCCTTTTGAGATGCAAGATGCCGGGAGCAAGGGAGCCTTGGTGTAATTTTGTTGCATTTGGCTTTTACTGCAAAGTGCTGAATACACTCAGCGGATCATTGTCCTAGCAGAGTTGGTACAAAGTTTTGCAATGGAGCTGGTGTCAGTGAGCCTACCTAGTCGTTTCAATGGGGAATATTTGACGGCTCTGCCGGGAACTGCACATTACTGTAATGTTCTACGTGATATGCAAAACACGCGCGACTGCTTGCCAACAATGCTAATGGAATTGGTGTCAGAGCTGGCCTGAGATCTTCGCATGTCAGGATCCACTTGAACTGCCACCTCGAAATCCTCTCCCACTTGAGAATCACAGATCATGAATCTTTTAAAATTGTATATACAGCCGTGTGCAATAGTGAATTCCCGTTGGGATGACATGATGTTCCAATGAGATCCATGGCTTTTCAAATTTTAAACTTGTCCACACCTGCCACTATTATCATTATAACAGTATTCACTAGTAACAATAGCTTTGTGATTGAGTGACCAAATTTGATGTAAAGGTGGCATGTGATGTGCCCTTGCTGGACTACATGTAATAGCAAGCCCATTGTACATTATAAAAGTAGTCCCTACCACCCCGGCTTTGTCTTCATTGATCTGCACAGATTCTATACACCTTTGTCCAACTGTGTAATACTGTTCCACCACTTATTTCTTATATTTTTGTAATTATAATTATAGCTGCACACGTGTTTCATGGAGCAGGCATGTCTTCTAATAATAAGCAATGTATAGGAGAGTGAAATACAAAACACAGTATAATATTGTACAAAAATAATAAAAGGTAGTAGAGTGCTATTTGAGTTCTCTGCTGGCAATGGAGCTGGTGTCAGAGCTGGCCTGAGATCTTCTCTTCATTCTCTCAGGATCCACCTGAACTGCCACCTCGAAATCCTTGTACACCTCTGCCACCTGCTCCTCCACTGGTTGAGAGAAAGAGAGAGAATCACGGATCATGAATCTTGTAAGATTTGGTCATAAGAGTGCACTGTGTGTTGGTGACTCACCATATCCCCTTTCTTCTTGCTTCAGTCGAGACATCCTCAGTCTGTAAAGTTAGGAAGGATATTAAGATTTCATTTCAGTGATACATGTGAACAAGGGACACCTTGGACACGTCGAAAGTGTCCTTTATTCAGAGGAACCCTCCATATTCAGTGGACTAATGCACTAATATAGTACTACGGCAAACAAATTGTATTATACAGATGTGTCCTTTGTTCAGATTGTCCTTTTTAAGAGAGTGTACAAGACGCATGTTGCCATAGTTATGCAGGAGTAGTGACTAGTGAGAAACAAATCCCAGGCCACTCGCATCACTCACAGTGTGACAATGTCTCCATTCTCTTGGTCCACTGCAATCTGAACTGGATCCTGAGAGAGACACAATGAGAATGGTAGTCTGGCATTACCATTGTCCTCAATTATGGTCATTACACTATACAGCATCATAATAGGGTTTGCTCTCTATGTACATACAGTGTAGGAGGATTAGTAGTAGAAGTCATGTTCTGTATATATTGTGCACTAGTGAACGTTGTGCAAGATTAAGTAAGGCTCAATATGAATGCTGTTCTCACCCTTCCATCAGTGTCCAAACCATCAGCTCTGGCTCCCCTCTTTAGCAGTAGGATCACCACACTGTGTGTGTGTGTGCGTGTGGTGTGTGTACACATTTGTAAGGATGAATTATTCAACATAGAATGGAAGGTATATACAGTGAAATAAACATTCCATCTAAATTGCTATCAATAACTTCACACTGGCCATCACGAGTCAGTGATAAGCAACCAAAAGCACTGAAGTAGCAAAACAGTAGCAAAGGCATGAAAAACAGGAAGAATGCTGAGCCCCTTGTGAAGCAGAGAAAACATGTTTGCCACTGAAATGACGGCATGCATGCATGCATGACTGTGAACACTGCATACCTTGCGTCGTCACTGAGTGCAGCGTAGTGCAGACAACCTCTTCCTTTCTCATCCGACACTGTCAGTTTCGCTCCATTCTGATACAGGAATTCCACCAGTACTGTACTGCACTGTAGTAATGAGAGACATATATACACTGTATAGTGGGCCTAACTAGAAACACCTCCACAGGGGCAAATTGTGGGCCTACCAACTTTCTATTTTCGACCTAGTATTATGCAAGTACTTCCAATGACAATAGGGCACAACCTGCGCAGCAAGCTGCATGGAGTCCACCAACTCCACATCACCTCCCTCCTCCTCTGCAAGGGCTACCTGTGGCTGGGGAGTCCACCGGTGCCATAATGGTCTACCGCACCCCCTACCTCAAGACCGTACCGGTCACCACCGGGAAACCGTACATGGCACTCCACGGCCACTCCAGCGGAGTCGGGTCCTCATTTCCACCCAAACGGCAGGGGACCTCTCCTCCAGTCGATTCGATCAGTTTGTCTCGGAGGAGCAGGAGAGGTTCCAGGAGGAGTGGGAGCCGGTGGAGGCAGATGAGGGAGAATTCCTGCTGCACGTGACCAGAGAAGGCGAGGGTGTTTACTGCTGGAGGAGAAGACAGCTCTGCTCCACAGCCAACAGAAACAGGGAGGAGATTCATCCACATTCCCTCCTCTCCCCCACCCAATTTCGATGATTTGAGCCCCACTGGTACCTCAAGTCAACGACAGATGGGGATGCAGATGGAGGTGCCAGCGATGAACCAGGGAAAGCTGACACTCTAAAAGCTCAACGAGAACTCAACACAGACACAGGGGCATCTACTGAAACTGCCACAACTGCAACAGCTCAAGGTTCGGATGAGAGCAGCGAGACACAGCTGGCCATGCCAGTCAGACGAAAGAGCTCCAACAAGAGAAGGTCAGCGGAGGGTGGAGACGGGAAGGGCACAGATG